TACACACTCCTCTACCCAATCCTCACTAAAGCCACATGCAACACCACACACACTACACACTCCTCTACCCAATCCTCACCAAAGCCACATCCAACAGCACACACAGTCTAAGCACATCTCAGTACTAAACAGCACACGCACTACACACTCCTCTACCCTATCCTCACCAAAGCCACATGGAACACCACGCAAAGTCCAGGCACATCTCAGTACTAAACACTCGACACAGACCCTTACGCACCGCCCCTTCAGTGAGACGTTGGACAACAAAAAGCACAACAACAACAACAACACGGCATGTACTGCACACATGGGCACACTCCACTCACTGGGGACTTTGCGCTCGCCCGCATTGCCAGTGATCTCAAACTTCAGCAGAAAATCAACACTGTTGAGCTCTGGGGGTTTCCACTTCATCAGCTTCAGAAACCTGTCAGCACGCGAAACAGTGAGTGCACGTTGGTCAGCTGGCACAGTGAATGGGTGTGTTGAAGGCAGTTCACAACCACTACATAAGACGTCCAAGCACACACAAGCACAAGCGTACAGCGCACATAAGCACGGACAACAAAACGACACTCGGCCGAGTTTTCGGCTAAGTATATTATGGGATTCACGACAGCTGTGCAATACGCAGCAGAGGAACAATAGTAAAAGTAGTAGTTTAGAGTTTCTGATTTTATTGTTTCTGGGTTTAGGGTTTCTGGGTGTAAGCTTTTAGTAGTTCGTAGGGTTTATGGTATCTGGTAATGGGGTGTGAATTGGGTACCGCCGGTTAGCTGAATGGAGAACCACAATCCCATTGATACAGGAAGTGTCAGTAAGTGTCAGGTGTCAGCGTGGTGTCAATAAGTGTCAAATAGGTGTCAACTTGGTGCTGCGGTGTCACGAAGTGACCTACATACCTTCCAGATACATAGCGCATACGCACAGGCGTAAGGATTAAGCCGTCGTTCTCGTGGGTGAGTTTGGGCATCACTTCCGTCACAATGTATTTGGCCTTTTGAATGGGGAAGAACTTCTTAATGCGCAGGTGGAACGGTTCCTAAGAGCGAGTGTGCATAGCAACGGTGGTGAGATGGGGGGGATGAGGTGACGGGTAGTAGCAACCGAATGGGATATATAAACATACACAATAGCACTAAAAGCATGGATGTATATATAGTGATAGTATGAGCATGGATGTATATATAATGATAGAATGAGCATGGATGTATATATAGTGATAGTATGAGCATGGACGTATATATAATGATAGTATGAGCATGGATGTATATATAATGATAGTATGAGCATGGATGTATATACATCGGTACTATAATCAAGAATTCACAGAGAAATAACCTCCACAACACACTCCCTTCGCACACTCACCTCTTTCATTTGTTCTTCGAATTTTTTAGCGCAAGCCTTGCGCGGTCGTATGATCTGTTTCTCGGCCATTTTCAGCCGTCGATCTAGAGGCTCCAGAAACCCAATTGCATTGCCCTCCCTACAGATACAAACACCAAGATGTTTGAATTCAAAGCGGCACAGTACAAATAGTACAGGACTATACTTACCGAATAATAAGGACTACGCCTACTAATTAAGAAGGACTATACCTGCCATTTTATGAGGACTATACCTACTAATTAAGAAGGACTATGCCTACCAATTGATGAGGACTGCACCTACTAATTAAGAAGGACTGTACCTACCAATTAATAAGGAATATACCTTCCAATTAATAAGGAGTATGCCTACCAATTTATGAGGACTATACCTGCTAATTAAGAAGGACTATACCAACTAATTAATAAGGAATATACCTTTCAAATAATATGGACTATACTTACCAATTTATGACGACGATGCCTACTAATTAAGAAGGATTATACCTACCATTTAATTAGGAATATACCTTTCAAATAATAAAAGCCACACTATACCTACCAATTAATCAGATCATAGATCAGGAAGCGCGGGATGAGATCGCCCGAGACGGGGTCTTTGTCCTCGACCATCTCACCATCCATCAACGTGTTCTTCAGAAAGGTGTCACCTGGCATATGCGTAACAGTGTACAACAAACATCAGACATCAACGTTATATTAAAACAAACATCAGACATCAACGTTATACTAAATCAAACATTAGACATCAACGATATACATCAAAACAAACATGAAACATCAACGTTATTTTAAATCAAACATCAGACATCAACGTTATACTAAAACAAAAATCAAACATCAAAGATATATTGACATACGAACAACAAATACAAAAAAGGGAACGAGGCACAGGCCAGCACCACATCCTTTGTGCTCGTAATGAATGATGGAACGCATATGACGTGCAGAGGTGTTGGGTTGGGTTGGCAGTTTTAGGGTTTAGGGTTTTATAATAATCAGTCGTTTGGTATGGTATGGTGTTTCCTCATGCCATGTCGTTTAGCAGTACATGATTGTATCTACTGAATGAAGTTATGGGTGTGCTGATGTTAACTTGGTACATTGAGAGTGCATGCAGGCGCAAGCACAGGTGGCCCAATACAGACCCAATTGTGTTAGAGATGCGCGTGGAGGTACCTTCACAAGTGCAGCTGTTAGGGTTTGAATGAGTCTCACACCCACTGGAATGAATCGACTATACTTTGCACTGGTTGCGCTATTCAGTAGTCTTCAGCATTGCACCAAACACTCACCTTTCTGATCTCACCTTTATCATTGAATAAACACTCGACTTTATTATCGAATAAACACTCATACCTTTATCATTGAATAAACACTCATCTTTGCTATCCAATAATCTCTCATCTTTAATATCGAATAAACACTTACCTTTCTCGTTGAATAAACACTCATCCATATTATTGAATAAACACTTATCTTTCTGGTCTCACCTTTATCATTGAATAAACACTCGTCTTTACTATCGAATAAACACTTGCCTTTCTCCTTGAATAAACACTTACCTTTGTCATTGAATAAAGGCTTACCTTTCTCGTTGAATGGGAATGTGAGTCTGGGCTGCACTTCGAACACGTTGTTGTCTCTGTCAATGAAGTAGGTCTCCTCTTTTCGGATGTACATCAGGTAGCGTGTGCCATCCGCCTGTGATACGTTATAAATCCACATTTGAAGCCGAGACATGATTATCAATTGTATGTATAAGAAACAGAATTTAATAAATAATTTTGTTAATATCTTGTGAAGTAAATAAAACCAAATTGTATGCACATAATGGACACCCATGAGTGTTCAATGTGTCAATCAACTGACATGTGCACACCACACAAAAGTCTGAGGGTGTGTAGCACATGTCCAAATGAATATGCTGTGCGATATAAGATATAACATGTGTGCTGATCAAAACAAGAGCTGGGATATAACTGTCCTCTAAAACGTTGCTACAAATCATGAGTTGCAGACCGTCACCTCAAAGTCCTCTGCAGATACAAATCCTGATTGAAAATGCCTCGCTCACAATGGAGTGACTCAGATATGCACGCACTGCCAGATGCCAATAAAAATGCCACAGACAACAACTTCAGAAACCCCAACTGCACCGTTCTGCACGTACTTGTCACAGTCGCAGTTGTCCACTAAACCAGCGAAATTCCCAGTAAGAAACTAAACACTAAACCCTAGCCAGGTCTTCGACAGAAAGTCGGTCACTGCGATTTGTGTCGCATGCGTTGACATCCTATCGCAATATGCCCCTATTGTAGAGACTCTGACAGTGACAAAACCCTCCCGGAGAACCCTAAACCCTAAAACATGCACTTACTGAAGTGCCAAAGGTGCGTTCATGATGCTAAAACTCTAAACCCTAGCCCAAAAAGCGGGTGGTTGCTGTGATAAGTATTGTTAGTGAGCGATGGCGGTGCTATACTTTTTTCGTGACGTCACCAGCTTAACGACGACTTGCGCGAAGGTTTTAAGCTTTAGCTAAACCCTAAACCTTAAAAGACTCTACCTTCCAACTGGCCATGAATGGCTCCTGCTCGAGTAATTTGATGTTTTCTTTGTCCATAGACACGGGCTGAGATCCAGGAAACTGTCGTCTGCAAACAGAAAGGAGGCAAGACGCTAAGTGAACAGTCGCGATGGGATGAATATGTAAAGAAAATATAAATGTTTCAGGATGCTACAAATATTAAGAGATATTTTATACGTTTGACGTTCATATAAATGTTTAAAACGACTATAAATTCTTAGAAATACTATATGATTAACGTTCATATAATTTTTTTAAAACACTATAAATGTTTAGAGATATTATATATGTTGAACGTTGATATAAACTATTAAAAATACTATAAATATTTAACGATGAAGTAAACATAAATGTTCCTAGTTATTCATGTCAATCTAGAAGAGTAGCATACGATAAGCGCCAGTGACAGTGACAGTGCGATAGACAGGAAAACGTGTGAGACATATGACATCAAACCACACACGAGACGCCAAACAGACACACAAATTCGTATTTTAGGGTTTAGGGTTATATAGCACAGGCCGTTCGCAATGGTTTTGGGTTTTCAGGGGTTGGGTTTTAGGGTTTGGAGTTATATCTTATATCACTCGCAATCATTTAATTTCAGAGTTTAAAGTTTTTAGGGTTTAGGGTTGTATAACACATACCACCCGCAATAATTAAAATTTTTAGGGTTTAAGGTTATGTAGCACATAAACGTTCGAAATGGTTTAAAGTTTCAGGGTTTAAGGTTATAAAATACTTACACATTTTTGAATTTACAGAGTCCGGCCACTTCGGTCCAGATGGTCTCGCGCAGAGTATCGCTCACGTGTACGCCCACGTGCTTACCTGTCAATCCCTGCCAACACACACACACACACACACACACATATAT